TTGAAGAGAATTATTTATTTTGGAAAAATTGTTTAAGATTACATATAAAATGAGAAGCTGAGAAAAAGAAAATAAGAAAAAAAATAGCAAAAGTTTTTTAGGATTACATGTAAAATAAGAAGCTGAGAAAAACAGGAAAAAAGATTGGATCATGATATATAATTTTATTTTTTGCTAGAGATAAAATTTATGTTTGTTGCATCAGTATATGTAAGATTGACTATGTATTTGTAGAAAGAGAAAAATAAATTAAACAATTGAAAATGTCTTTAGTAAGACCGAGAGTGGAGAAACATGTTTGTGATTTTGTCATTTAGGCTATAATAAGTGAAAAAAATCAGTAGAATAAAACTATTTTCCTTCAATTGAAAATTGTAAATAGTATATTTGCTTCTTTAAATTAATAATTTTGGTAGCAAACTGTTAAATACGGAAGACCGTTTATTCTTTTCTATACCATAGAAGATAAAAAATGAATGAAAGGCAGCACGTGAAAGAAACATGAAGGCTATTTGAAGTTGATTTTTTCCCTTGGTTAGATAAATATAAGAATCCGTGATATCAGATTAGCATTAATATAAAGCTCAGTAATGAAATATTTCTTCAAAATATTTTTTGTAAAGTAGCAACATAAATATGTTGGATATACTTCTTACGTACTACTCATAGAAATAGTATGTTTAAAAATAAATCCATGGTTATTGAAATCTACAAATAGGATGTGTTCAAAATGGTTTATTTATATGTTTAAAAATGATAAATTGTAAATATATTTTTAATAAATTATAGAAATTCATATGTTGTATTTTTTAGATTTTTACTAAATAAGATTATTAAACATTAGAATATAAAGTATAATGGTAGCTCTTAAATTTTTTACTAGTTTAGTTTAAATGTTTATGTTCTGTATTTTTATTAAAGTGTAATGTATCCTATGTTAATTTATGTTTTTATATATTGTAAGTAGGTTAATATGGTTTAAACATTTTTATGCAGATAATTTTGTTTTACTTTAAAATATACTAATAGTCTTCTTTAATTTTTTCAGTTCCTATTTGTTAGTTTGGGCTTCAACTATTCCATAAATTATCTTATTATTATTATGGATGCTTCAAACACATGTGATGGAATAATTGGTTGTATGAAGTTCGAAACAATGCCTCATCACGAACAAGAAAACTAAAAGCAAAAGGATAGACGAAATCAACATAGAAGTGGTTGCAACGATCGTCGTAAGAGGATAACTTATCCTATGTCATCTAAGAATAATAATTTTAATATTGTAGAAATGCAACAATGTATAATGGACGATGATTTCAATACTTCTACTTCAAATGAAAAGATACCTAATATTTCCAATCATACATTACAAAGTCGATTTAATGAATTAAATATACCAACAACCGCATATGTATTATCGATAAGCAATAATTGTAAACATTGTGGTGCAAAAAAGATTTCATAGAGAAAGTAAAGATTTTTGTTGTTTTGATGGAAAAGTTCATATCTCTATGCCTAATTTACTGAATGAACTATACAATTTATTCACTTCTAAAAACCTAAATGCATGGAATTTAAGAAAATTGTACGGGGATATAATAACCATTTTACTTTTACTTCATTTAGTGTAAAATATGACAAAGAACTCTTTAAAGTATACAGAGGTATTTACACATTTAGAGTTCAAGGACAAGTATATCATTATGTAAATGAACTTATTCCACAGAATAGTATACCTTCTTATATGCAGTTATATTTTTATGATACAGATAAAGAACTTGAAAATCGTAGGAAAATTTTAGTGAATTTTGTCCAAATCTTGAAGGTTAATCCATATAGTACATTTTTCCGATCGTTAAGTAACATGACTAATTTGCAAGATTATCATATACACATAAGATGCGATTCATGACTTGATCAAAGACTTTTCAATACTCCTACAACATCTAAGGTAGCTACTATAAGGGTAGAAAACGATAAGAATGCTAATCATCGTTTTCGTGATATTATTATATATGGTAATTCTAGTGATTCACATAAAGTTCATTATTATTACGGTTGTTATGATCCTTTACAGTATATATTACTTTTTCCATATGGAGAATCTGGTTGGCATGAAGGTATTGAAAGGTGTAGAAAAAGGTCTTTTCAGCCTGAACATTTGTCTGAATTTGTTGCGTTCTCTATTACGATTACCTCTGCAGCTGAAATTATTGAAAAAGAAAATGAAGGTTTGAAAATATATATATTTTTTGTTTATTTATCTAAGTTTTTTAGCGTCAATATTGTAAATGATTGATAATTTGTTTTGCAGTGCTTAATGGAATGAAGAAATAATTTCAGGTTTCTTGCCGTGGATATTATTCATATAAATTGCAAATTAAGTATTATAGTAAGTCTGTTTTACTTCACAGCGGTAGATTGTTTTAGCAATATATTGTAGATATATATATTAAGATTGAAACTGCATGGTTAGATTATTTTCGTAATAATCAAAAATAAATACGAGCTGAACTTTACCAAGATATTGTAGATAGCATTCAAAATGGAGAAACAAAAGGATATAAAATTGGAAGAAAATTTGTTCTACCTCAGTCTTTTACATGTGGGTCTAAAGATATGTTAAGAAGATATATGAATGCAATGGCTATTGTACAGCGTTATGGAAAATCAGATATCTTTTTTACTGTAACATGTAATCCAAATTGGCCAGAGATTAGGCAGGAACTAATACATAATGATGAGGTTCAAAATCGACCAAATTTAATTGCACGTATATTCAAAGCAAAATTAGAGGAGTTGAAAAATAATTTATGCAAAGAAAATATTTTAGGTCCTGTTGTAACACATATATATGTTATTGAATTTCAAAAAAGAGGACTTCCTCATGCACATCTATTGTTGATTTTCAGTTATGGCCATAAAATATGTTTCGCTGTAGATGTTGATAGGATAGTTTCCTATGAAATTCCTGATGAAAAGAAAACATAATATATATGGCCCTTATGGAGACTTGAATCCGAAAAATGCATGTATGAAAGCGAACAAAGGTTGTAAAAATAAATACCCCAGGGACTATTGTAATACTACTATATTTGGTGATAATTCATATCCTTTATATAGACGTCGTGATAATGGTATTTCTATTAAAGTTAGAGGCCAAATATTAGATAATCGATGAGTTGTACCATATAATCATTATTTAGGCGCAAAATATGACTGTCATATTAATGTTAAAGTATGCTCTTCTATTAAAGCTGTAAAATATTTGTATAAAGGACATGATCGTATTCATTTTTCAATTGCTACAAATGAAATGGGAAAATAAATTGACGAAATTTCATCTTATCAATCTGCTAGATGGATTTCTCCACCTGAACTTATGTGGAGAATTTTTTTCATTTAATTTGGCTGAAATTTATCCAACTGTATATTCTTTACAACTTCATATTGAAAATAATCAACAAGTAAGATATGACGATAATGATGATTTATCTACTGTTATTGAAAATGAAAATACAAAAAAACAATGTTAACAGAACTTTTTGAAGTAAATAAAACGAATGAATTTGCTTGAACATTGTTATATCGAAATTTTCCGACACATTTTGTTTGGAACTCAAACTAGAAGATTTGGACTCGTAGAAAAAAAAATATTGTTATAGGATGAATTGTTACAGCGATTTCATCTGAAGGTGAACGATATTTCTTACATGTTATTCTGAATCATATTCGAGGTCGAACATCATTTATTGATTTACAAACTTTAAACGGAGTAACTGTTAGTACATATAGAGAAGCAGCAAGGTTATATGGTTTGTTAAGTGGAGATAATCATTGTGAAGAATGTCTATCTGAAGTTTTTGTTTACGAAATGCCTATTTCTCTACAGCATCTTTTTGCTACACTTCTTATACTTTGCAGCCCTGATAATCCAAAATTACTGTGCGATAAATTCAAAATTTATATGATTGATGATTATGCACATGAAAATATACCTTTAGAAGTTGCTGAACTACGAGCTTTAGAAGATATAAGTTCTATTTTACAATCATCTGATAAAAACATAGATGAGTATGAAATAGTGTAGACTAATGTAAATATAGATGAAAATGAAAAGTTGAGAAGAATGATTGCAGAAGAAATAACAAATTTGGATATAGAAGGAGGTTATGCTTATGCAATAAGTTTAAATAATGAACAACAATTTGCGTATGATACAATTATGGAAAAAGTGGATTCAGAATTGAGTGGGATCTATTTTATTGATGGTCCAGGAGGAATGGGCAAAAATTTTTTGTATGATGCTCTATTAGCTGGTATGAGGTCTCAAAATTTAGTTGCTTTAGCCACAGCGTCTTCTAGAGTATCTGTATCTCTTTTACCTGAAAGTCGAGCAGTTCATTCAAGATTTAAAATTCCTTTAGAGACAGATGGTGAAGTTAGTTGTTCTGTTAGTAAGCAATCAGCTTTAGAAATTTTGTTAAAGATGTCGAAGTTAATACTTTGGGATGAAGCGCTTATGGTAAATCCTTACACCATTGAAGCAGTTGATAAAATGCTCAAATATATTATTGATTGTAGTTTACCCTTTGGTGGAAAAGTAGTTGTTCTAGGAGGCGATTTTCGCCAAGTTTTACCAGTGATATCGAGGGGGGAAAAAGAAGACATAATAAGAGCTAGCTTAGTGTTTTCTGATTTATGGCCTTTATATTCACATTTACCATTGGTTAAAAATATGAGAGCAAAATTTGATCCTACATTTTGTAACTTTTTGCTTAGAATTGGAAATGGAATAGAAAACAAAGACAATTGTAATTGCATTCAACTTCCAAATAATATAATTATACCATTTGAGGATGAAATTACATCTCTAAAAATTTTAATAAATTTTATTTTTCCGAATATAGAAATATAAAAGGATAATTTAGATACGATGGGAAACCGAGTTATTCTTACTCCAAAAAATGAATGTGTTGATCTTATTAACAAAATTTTACTTAATCAGATTTTCGGTGAAATTTACACATATTATAACTTTGATGAAGCAATTGATAAATCAGAACAAAGCTTACAAGAAGATTTCTTGAATACTTTGACTTTGAATGGGATTCCACCATATTAATTGAACCTTAAAATAAATTGTCCTGTAATGTTATTGCGAAATATCAATTCTTCAGAAGGATTATGCAATGGAACACACCTTACTCGTAAAAAAATTAATAAGAATGTAATTCTTGCTGAAATTACAACTGGTGAATATTCTGGAAATCATGTTTTCTTGCCAAGAATTTCTTTCATACCTCTAAAAAGTGATCAAACTTCAATTCAATTTAAAGAACTCAATTTTCGATTAGACCATGCTTTGCAATAACTATAAATAAAGCACAAAGTCAAACACTTGATTTCGTTGATCTATATCTTCTTGAACCAGTTTTTTGTTATGGTCAGTTTTATGTAGCATTGTCAAGAGCAAAACAAGCAAATCTTTAAAAGTTTTACTGAAACTCTCAAACATTGAAATTCACACAATACATGCACTAAGAACGTTGTGGATACATGTGTAGAACTTTAACTTATTTGTAAGTATTATTCACATATCTTAGTCACTTATTATTATAAATAAGTTAATCATTTTTTTATTCTATAGTTACTGTTAAATTTTTTCTTTAACTAATTAAGCTTTGAAACATTTCAGGCTTTATGATGTTTGTTTACATTTGTTTGTTACACTTACTTTAATTTGGCAACATGACATCTTAAAGTCATCATTGTGGGCAACCATAATTGGGACAGTATTGTTGCTGAATTCATTGCCTCTAATATCTAAAAGGTAAGCTCTATTTGTAGTTTGTATTTTTTTTTTTTTTTTTTTTTTTTTTTTGTTATTAGATTCATATAATTTGGAACTTTGGGGGCAAATATTACCATTAATGTTATTCATGATTTGTATTCTTTATTATATGTTTATAGAAACATATTTGTTCATTGAGAATACATTTTATAAATATTTATGTAACAAATCAATTATTATTTTTTCTACATTTTAGTTGAAAAATTTAATAATATGACTGTCAAACATAGAAAACATAAAAAAATTGTAGAAAAATGCATTTATCTGTTCAACACTTAATATTTCATGGTTTCAACTACAAGTGAAGATATGTATTTTACTTAACTTTCAACAACTTATAAGCTATTTATGATATCTCTCCTTACTCTGAATAAATAAAAATAGTTCCAAAATGTGAAAAAAGTTAACCTTTGTGGAACGTTGAAGATTGTTGTGGCTATTGCAGTAGGTTTGCATTAAATTATTTTGTCGTATTATAAGTTTGCATTTTTTATTTTTATCTTTTTGAAATTGTAATGTATTGCATAATGGCTTATTTTTTGATTTATGAAACAACATTTGTAAATGCGTTGAAGACAAGGAATAACACTAAGACAAAGGCAATTGAAGTTTCAAGTTAAAATTAACTGAATAATGTTAACACTTGGGACGAGTTTATTGCTCGTTATGCAAAATTTACAAATCTGCAGTAATGCGAATTGGTATACAGAAAATGAAGGCCTTTTGAAAGCATTTTTTCCCTTGTGTAAAAAAATATTACTTACTTTAAAATTGTAGTATTCATGCATTATGATATCTTTGATATGAATAATTGGATAGCTGTAGATAGTCCTAGAAAAATCAAATGATTTGTGAAACATTTGTAATTTAATTATCGACAGTGATACTATCTTATCTATTATCGTAAGCTACTTTTTAGTTTTATTTTCAAATTTTTCCTTTTAATTGTTGCATGCATTGTTTTCTTTATCATTTTTTTTTTTTTTTTTTTTTTTTTTTTTTTTGCTATTTTTCTTTGGAAACTATATAGTTTTGTTTATGTATTGCAAACATTTTTATTCTATGTCTTATTCAAAATTAGACAACAAGGAACTATTAGCACTGACTATTGTATTGTATATAAGAACTTTTTATTTCATCTTTAACATCATTTTATAACAAAAAAAAAAACACTTAACTATGGGATTCGAATATATTATTTTTTAAATTTGTTTTATAAAATTTTGAATAAATTTGCTTTCAGAGAAAAAATATGCAAAAAGAGTCAAACTAAAATTGGAAATGAAAATAGAAGTTAGAAATTTTCCACGAAAGGAATTATAATAATATTACTGGGTATTGCATTGTTTTCATTTTATTTGTGTTCAAGGACTGTGAAAATAATATTTTTTTTGTCCCTTTCATATTTGTATTGGTATTTTTAATTTGTTTTAGTCTTTAGTTTGGTTTAGTTCAACAAGCTATTTATACAATTATAAAAGAGAATGTTTTCCCGTCTCAACATACTATAGTTCAATGATTTTTCGTTTTTGCATCTCTTCCCTAAATCATATGTTAGAATTTCATTCATTGTTACAGAAGCTAAGAATTTAATAAAGTTTTTGTATTTGTGAAAAACATGTAGTTGGGAATGTTTCTTTAATTTGTTCATGAAGTGTTGTACTAGCTTCATTTTCTTTATAAATAAGTTATATTAATATATTTTTAGCCGAATAAAATGTTGAAATATCTTTACAGATCCTTCGAGTAATAATTTCTACAAAAGAGCTTGAGCAGTTAGTGATTATGTATATCTTTCTACATTATAACGTTATTTCCATCAAAGATTTTCCATCAAGAATGGCAGATCATATAAACAGTCATCATGCTTTTCTATTGGCGAGGATTTGATCAATAATGGTAAGTTTACTTCAAATATTTAAAAGAATATATTGCTGGATGTTTTAAATGACAATTTTAACTGCTAGATTTGTTTGACTTTCTTTATAACATATTGATTAAAGACCTTTTTTATACTTTGTAAACTTTCCTGAGCATATTTGAAGTCTATGACTATATTTTTTATATTTATTTTTCTAAAGTGGAAATGCTTATATTATAATGTTGACTTAAAATTAAATTTTGTTCTGTACATATAGGTTAAGTTACTTTCGGTTTTGGTACTTTTCCATTTTAGCTAACTAATTTTAATAAGGCAAATTATATCCACATACTTTTATTTTCTTTTTGGAGGTTCAAATTTCTAAGTCTTGTGCCATTTGCATGCACAAACTAAGAATTACAAATACCTTATGAATGTAAACAAAACTAAAAATATAAGAATTTTAGAGAATTAAAAATTATAACATTTTTATGTATTAAAAAACGAAAGTATTCAAGTTTGACACCAAATGAAATATATAATAAAACATAAAATGAACTACACTGTTTAACAAAGTATAAAGTAATTGGGTCACAAATAATTTCTAAAATTTAATTATTAGTGTTCTTTAATCAAAAGTCTTTTTTTAATGCTTTACAGGTAAATCTTCAAAAAATGATGCATGAAGCGTCTTTATCGTAATGAAGGATATATTATGAAGTAGGATTTTTTGGCAAAGGAGATCGTCATTTGATTTTGGCCAGCTAAGTATGAAAGATTTGATGAACAATTCTCACAGTTAAAAAATTTACTTTGACAAATTTTTGCAAATTCACTTGTGTTTTTTGTTACCTAATCTATCTTTTGTTTGTTGTTTTTGATTTTTTGCCCATTCTCGGCTACAAAAACTACCGACTGAAAAGGTAAAATTTGCAATTGTTCGAACATAACTCGTTGAGATTTTATTTATTTTGACGATTTTCATTTCTCTAATATGCGTGTTAATGTCTTTTCGTTGATTTTTGGAGTTGGACAAAAGTATTCGCCCAAGATTCTTACAACAGAGAAGAAAACTATACCTGTGTAAGTCCCTTTCATCTAAAATTTGATTATTTGAGTTTTTAGTTCGAAAATTAAACTGGGTTTGTTGTGTTCTTTTTTATTTCTGATTTTCTGTGATTTCTTCAATTTGATTATTTCCTCAAAAAATAATTTATTTTTCGCATTTTTATTACGAAAATTGAACTGGGTTTGATGGATTCATTTTAATTTTTTACTTTATGTAATTTCTTATATTGATTCATTTTCACTTGATTCTTGATCTTCCGTTTTGTTTCTGGCTCTAATTTATTTACATTTATTTTAAACGTTGCAAATGACTTAGCTTCTTATAAACCAAACAAATTTTGAAGGTTTAGCTAATATACACATCCTCAAAATTAATCTTTCAAACACAATAAACAAAACCTTAAGAAAATAAATGAAACTGGGGAATACTCTCATAAGTATTTCAAAAAATTAGGTGTTATACTCTTAACTAAACACAGGTAAAATCGACAACCTATAATTGAATAAAAAGACATGACAAAGATGATGTACACCTACTATCATTTAACAAAAATTTCTTACTGGATCACAAGTGATGGCAAGAACACAAAATGCAGTAAACACGTGGATGTTAATGGTTAAAATCCAAAGTTACCTCATTAACTAATGCTCGCTCTCCAAAATCACACGCACATTTGCAGCTTCCAAAGCTTGAAGCCCTTTTTTCAACCGCTCAAAAAATGCCTTTGCTTTACCGAAATGCGTTAGGTCAACGAAATTAGCTTACACCAATATTATAAATTGTCTCCTTTCAAAGCCTTAAACATTAAGCAAGTCACATTTCTAACAACCTAACCTATTCAACCAAACTTACATGTCTCAATCTACTACAATCCCTTAACATTAAGCAAGTCACATTTCTGATGTTTGTTTATAATAAGTCAATATTCGCTGCATATTCTAGGGTTTGTTTTGGTCTTTGAAATCATAGAATAAAAGTTTTGATTTTTGATTAGTTATTTATTTGATTTTGCAGCTTCCTCTTTCTTTATTGAAGACCACTCAAGTCACCCCATGGTATAATTTTCTCTTCTTATTTTCTATTTGAAATTGATGGCAAGTTGGACTGAAGTTTAAAATTTTACTTACAAGTAAAAGTATATTTTATAATAAATAACTTTTTTATTGACTAAAAATATACGATTTGTAAGTTACTTATTTTTGATGTAAAAATTACTTTAAAATAAATAAACTTTTTGCTTAAAAGTAAGAAAAAGTATTATACACAAATATGTTTCACACAAAAAAAGTAACTTGCTACTTTTGTTGAGTTAGGAAAACATGTTTAAAAAGTTCATTTGTT